GAGAGTGGTTGCTAGAAAATGCTACAATACACAATGGTTATAGTTTATGACAAGCTTTTACTTCTCTCATTTAACTGTTATGATATGTTTATATTGTTATATTGATTAATCACAATTGTTAATTTAGTAGACAGTCTTAAAGTTATTCAAATTTTTATACTATGTCAAGCCTTTTTTGTTTCTTTTCTTTTTTTNTTTTTTGTTTTTTCAATATAAATGAACGACGTTGACTGAATTCCCTCTAATTGCTTGACAAATTATAGGCACAATGGAATATCTTCAGCACGAATCTTTTCAGCTGTTTACATGATTTTAATTCTTCGACGACAGTCATTTTATTATGTTTAATTTCGTCTTTCCGACCACTTTGGTAAGTTTTCTTGTAAAATGTATTTTTTTTTCTGTCTTTTGATGAGAAATTGCCTAGATGAATGGATAACACATGCTTACTGATGATCAAATCATTTTGAGTTGTCCAGGAAGTTGTCGGCATAAAAAGGTCTCCATCACATGATCTTAATAGAGGAAAGGCATTTCCTGCATCAAGAGATATAACATCTGTTTAGGATGAAATACCTTATCTTAAAAAAAAAAAACTTAATAATCAATCAGTGTTCTAAAATATCAATAAAACAAAACCAAATGCTTCACTGCCTCATTTAGGTAAGTCTCGTAGCGGTTATTGGTTTCCATGCTCCGATAAATACTACTGGTCGACACGAAAGTAAATTTCGTTTGGGAATCATGACGTTGCTGAGTATGTCTGTCATGCTTTTGATGCTAGCTGATGAAATGAAATTTGCACTGGAATCAGTTCTAGGACAAAGAGGCTCATTTTGTGATGTGCCTTTGCTTGGTTGGTTTTTTAATTTGCGTAGAAATTTAAGACATTTAAAATAAAGAAACTTATCAGTTTTTGTTTTATTTTTACTTTCGGTAACAACGTTTCAGCAGTGTTTCATATGATACAAATGCTTATTATAAGTGTCGCCACTTGCACGAGTTCAATATTTGTTTATTTAGAGAAATATGCCTTACGAAACCAATACATTGAGGTGAATTCTTTTAGCTTCTGTAATAATATCTATATTTGATAGAATTATCATTTAAACATTATTTACTCAGAACTAAAATAGTACTACAAAGCAAAAATAAAATAGTACTATAAACAGAATAGGAAATAAAAGATTGTGCAACCTTTCAATCAAAATTAAGGCAATTCCATGGTGGTTACGATTTTTATCTGCCAAGAGACTGTTCTGCTGTTATGTGCCGAAAAGATTTCGAATAGCAGGCAGTGAGGACATCAAGCGAAATCACGATGTTATGACACGTTTTGTTAGTTCAGCATCTGATAGCTTCACATTTCGGGATATAATTCCTGCCGAGGCAAGTATTTAATAATGTTTGAAGCATTATGACTCCAAATATGGTAAATCTGATGAAAGAGATACCTCAACTGATTCTAATCCGCGGTGTTTATCAGTGAGGAACAGCAAAAGATTTTCCAACTCAAATAATGGGATCTTAAGATCTCATTTTCTTGTATGACAAGTCTGCCAACCTAGATAACTTCGCAACAAAGCATTTCGTTTAAAAAATTTTTATTTAGGTTTTGGGTCGGCTACATTATTTAATCCGGAAGAAATGCTCTCGTAGCTTTAGATTGCTTGCTTAGAAGACAGAGATTGATTGCAGCAGAAAAAACCTATTTAGTCTCGTTTTATTTCGAATAGAAAGTTCTAGACTTCTTACAGGTAAACATGACAGAATGTCACCAGGAGACAGCAATATCGGAAGCGCTTGCCGATGCGCCACCACCAATAAATACGCAACGGATCGAATTACTTGTTAATTTGATGAGACAGTTAATACAAATGAAAGAAGAAGCTCAAAGGAGACATTGCTTACCGACTTACTGGAAAAGGGTCATCAGAAGGCTGGAAAAAATTTCGCTTACCACTTATCTTTTCCTTATCATCACCAATGTTGCCATGTTTCTGTGCTATGATCTTTGGTACTGATCTCAGCAGTTAGCACATAGTAGTAAAGTTTGTTTAATTTCCGGTCATGTACCCCTGAATTTCGCCCTTATTTGTTTTTGCGTATTTATTTCATTCAAATATTACATTAATTTAGCTGACCTAAACCATTCTCTATGCATTTGACAACCACTTTGTTACACAACTTTTTTGACAAACTTTGTTGCAATAAATTGTCAAAAATTTATTTAAAAATTTATTTAAAAAAATTTATTTAATTTATTTAAAGGGACATTTCTACTCAAGTTAACGATTTCTCTCGAAAACAGTTTTCAAATAGTCCCAATTCCAATGCTATGACTACTGTAGCCTTGACTGCATAGGATGATTTTAAAGATTTTGAGAATAAAAATTACGTAACCATGTTCCTGTCTTGTCTTTTACAAGTATATTAAATTTGGTCGTCCCAAGATCGAAACTGACTAACCGCTGACGTTACTTACGCATGAGATTGGATTTGACTTACATTACTACAAACATCCTGCATAAAACAATGGTGAGTTTGATAATAAAAAGTTATGAGTTGCAGAAATCATTCAGTATAACCGAAATTAGCGTGTGCAATCAACTACGAGCTCCTCTCCTTTAATAAATATGTAACTTTTTTTATATGCTTGAAATCTTCCCCACGTTTTTTAATGGTTTAATTGCCGCAAGTGGCAGGCATAAGCAGTGAGCATTTGAGCTAAACAAAAACTGTAAGTCCCAAAGATTATTTATATCCATACATGAGATTAACAAAAGTTTCCGAAATACGAGAATTCTCGAAAATAAAAAAATCACAACTACCGGCAAAGAAATTATTTTGAATGTCGTGTATGTGTATAAATATGAGGGAACTTGTCTCGAAGTTTCGTGTTACACCTCATATTAGTCATTGTAACTTTAAAAATCCAGAACTCTCTTTCCCGCTCCTTTTCAGTACTGAGCACTTTACCATGTTTTAAACTAGAGATTGGGAAATATCGGAAAAAGTCTCACTTGAAATGTAATAATGCAGACGAAGAATTCCAACAATTTCCCATTATCATCGGCTGTACTGTTTTAAAGCACGTGAATTACTTTGTTTTCAGTTGTCATCCTTATATTAAAGCAACTCTTTCTAATTTACATTGCAGCTTGTGACTTTAACTTCACTTAAATCTCATTTTTTTCTTTCGATAATACAGAAGTAAAATTTATATAGCGAGGAAGTAGGCGGCATTATCATAAAATTTATAATTTTCGCTAAACTTGAGATCTGAAGTAGCCTTTATAAATGATGTAAAATTGCTAGAATTATATCAAGCACGATTTTTCGTGTGTTTCAATTCTAATTATCACCTTAAGTCTCAACAACATTAAATTATGCAGTAAAAGCACTGTTATCGAAAGTGCTGCTCCTAACATCAGAGATGAAAAACATCAACGGTTCATCAGCTGATAGACTGACTGCTCATAGCATCTTTACAACGTGCAATTGCTCAGGTACTGCGCCTGAAGATTTCCAATCCAGGACAATCAGCATAACAGTAGCTACTTCAATTTTTCATAAATATCAATGAATTGGCTTTAAAACAACAACGAAAATTGTACACATATGGAAATAACACAGAAATATGTAACAAGTACTTTTTCTTAACTATATTGCCAGGTATTTCGACACAAAGATGATTTTTGCAAAGAAGACAGAAATAATTACAAGAATCACCGGAACAAGTGACTGAGGTATAACATCAACTAAACGTTTTGTGCATAAAAGTTACAAATACATATCCCCCCACCCAACAGATTTCAGAGGATGTAAGTCAAATTATGATTTTGTACATAACGAAAACCTTATCAGCGCGACCAGCGAATTGGCAAGACTAGATGGTTAATAAAAAAAGTGCAATATGAAAAAATATGCTGGAGTTGAAAGAGTGAAATTAGGTCCAATTTTAATATCTTAAATTGAAAACGTCAACCAAGGATATTCGGAATACGGGTAGACTTGAAAGTATAACCGGAGAAGGTTGAACAGCGCAGAATCTAGTTTCTCTTTCCTAGTGACACTAACACCACCAATACGACATAGTGGAATTGAAATTCAATGAGACTTAACAGTGGCACCGCATCTTAGCAAGCTGATGAAAACATTCGAACGAAGTTTCTCGTTGTGTGGTTCCGGTTCACAGTACAAACTTTCCAGTGGTGTCTCACCATACATATTTTCTTTATTCGCCAATTTTGCAATCGTTTCCTCATCCACACACGACTTGAACATCTAAGTGAATCGAAGAGTATATTTACATACTATTAGAATAATGGGTCTACCTGAGTGCTCACAGGCAGAAGTGATGCGAATGATTTTAATGTTTCAGATATTACCTAAATTCGAAGATAGGTCATTTTATATTTATCTGAATAACAGTCAGTTTTGTTGCAGATATGTGCAAATAGGTTTTTTTTGCGTCATTGAGAAGTCGTGAAATCAAATAAATTGAAAATAAAATGAAAATTACCTCAATAAGATCAGCATCCAAACTGTTTACTGCATAATGAAGAATATTGTTTCCGCATAAATCCTGTAGATAAATGGCATTGGTAGATATCATCGAAATTAGATGAAAAACGGCATTTGATTAAGAAAGGTGATATTTCAAGGTAACTTACTGACTATATGAGGATGAATAAATACTGTTGGCTTAACGATCACCATTAGATCTCTTAATTCTAGCCAAAGGGGAACTTAAATAGGTAGATATAAATACAACAGATCACAACTCGTAATTAAAAGACATTGGTTGGAACTATTTTCATCCCGATTTTTTAAATTAAAAGAATAAAGTGCTTATCACCGCTTTACCAAAAAAAGATTTGAAGTTTGCACTTACTGTGTTCATTGGGTTGGCTCCATATTTTAGAAGACACAGAATCGTTGAACTGTTGTCAACATACAGCTGAGTCTTTCTCGGGCCTGCACCATGCTCCTTAACAGCACATAAAAGAGGCGCTTGTCCCATTCCATTTGACATGTTAACATCAGCTTTTCCACTAGCGCAAAGAATCTAAAATAGGACACCGTACCTTTGAAATCATGAAGTAGCTACAACAGCTTCTGGATGATAGTAATGAGTCATAAAACAAAGGGTGAGTTCAAGAAACAATGAAAGCTTTAAGATCAGCCTTTAAGAAAGTGTTAAGAAGAGAAAAAATTTTGAAACGTGTGACAGACTACGAAAAATACATAATCCTTCAACGGAACAAACAAAATCACTTCAACAATTTCAGTCATTCCATTTGACGCAGCATAATGCAAAGCTGTTTGTTGTCCTGGCAATGCTGTCTGATGATTTGGATTCGCTCCAACTTCCAGCAGATATGCCACAACTTCAAGACTGTTCTTCTGTACAGCCAAATAGAGAGGTGTTTCGAAGGCTGCATTTGGTATATCGAAAGCTTGCCGTGTACAAACATCTTCAGCTTTTAACATCTGCTCGACCAGCGCATAAATTTTTGGGAGATCCATATGTAAAATCACGATATGCAAAAGGCTATCGCCATCTTGATCCTGATAGCACAGTGCACCTTCCAATTCCTACAACACAGTTTTCCACATGGCGTGTGGAGCTTGCACACTATGAATGTGCACTCATTCACTATGTTGTTAGCTGTCCCCACCTAAGCTACAACATGACTTTGATTCCACAAAATATATTTTTGGTCTATATTCAGTTTCAACCAGCTCCAATGTTTAATCACTTCGCCGCTTCCCTTTTCTAGCTTCTCACAATTATGCTGTTATCTCCCCCTCCGCCTCCACTCCGGCATAAAATCTACTGGTGTAAATAAACAATGGTTGGATTTATGAAATTATGCTCCAAAAAGTGCATTTAAGGATATTAGCCAATTAAGCTTAAGAAGATCGAGCAACGAATGAAATAAGTCGACAAGTAAGCTAAGGATATATGCGCTATGTTTATGAGTGCATCTCAGTAATAATAAGACTTGTAAAAGTGATCCTCCAGCATACTCGATTGATTTTGCTAGAAGATTAGATTACGATAAAAATTAACCTGAATACATTTGCATGACCATGCCCAAGCTTCAACTATTTCATTGTCATTAATAAGAGCTCGTAAGCGACTTTTTGCTAAACGTGATGTTGTCAGTTCTCTTCTGCTCTGATTAGTTATTATGAACTCAGAAGCTGACAAATTCTTGGAACCAGTTGTTCCCAACTGGTTATCTTCAAAAATAACTGGGATTTGTGCAGCTGTTCGTGGTAACACTGGGGAACACTGTGGTGCACTTTTCGCCGAAAGTGGTGAAACACAATTATCTTCAACAAGAATCCGATACAAGGGACTGTCGAAATTTGTCTGATTGTTACCATCACTAATGCTGCTATCCCTGGACCTCGTTGATATAGCACTTTCCGGTGATCGTACTGTTGTCGTATATTCTTGGGAATATTTTAAAATAAAGTCAGACAGGTCTTCAGGAAGTTGAGTGTTATCCACCACATCTCCCGAAGATGCAATAGTTCGCTCTAAACATGGTGAGATCTGATGCAATCTGCCTGATGGACCGCAGCCAAGATCCAGAGTCGAACTGCTAGATGTAAATTGTGTAAGATCAGGTCCAATTGATGAAAAAGTAGAATCTTCTAAGCCATATTGACATGTGCTATACAATATGTCATAGTTTTTGGTGTTCCCGTCGAAATTTTGTGGATTTATGACACCGCTATTTCTTGGTATGTACGGAGTATAACTAACGACAGTGCTGTGCAAATTACGAACAGGTCCCCTAGCGAGTAGTACCACAGACTTTGCAGAAGATGGTTCTTTTGCTTTTTCCAGCACAGATTTCGCATGTTTTCCATCATCCTTCACAGCAGATCTTGAGGTACTTCTGACAATAGCTTTTTCGGAGTAAACGACCTCAGTATCACCAACAGTTGTTTCATTTTCATATTTTCCCTACAAATAAAGGAAACATACACATTTATACAACATTATAAAACATTCAGAATGAAGAGCAATATTTCATATTCCTAAAACTTTGAATGACAGGATTTTTTCAATCGTTACAATGTACTGAAATGAAAGGATAAAGAAGAATCCATACCACTCAATTCCATTCATACAGGAAGGGTTATGATTGCTTCTGGAAGGTCGTGTTTACTTACATGTAATAAGCCGGGCCTAGGCACTACAACATGGGTTTTCTTTTTCTTTTTTTTTTTTATCTGGAATAACAAAAAAAAAAAAGAATAACTACTCTATTTGGCAGTAAACCACAAACCTAATAAGCAATGTTGCATAGCGAACGAGTGTGTCTCGCTAGTTACTCTTTCCCTGACTGCAATGTCAGCAGGATAAAAGGAATAATGGCTCACCTTATTTTTCTCAACAACATCACTATTTATCAGGTCGTCGAACAAAGTGCCATTGCTTCGGCTGGTTTTGATTGTTGTGCTTGTCCTGCATGCCAGTGCACTTGAACGTAGCCTTTGTAAGGAAACGAATTCTGAGGGTGATATTTTCTCAGGATGACTTATGCTGTTTTTGGTGGTTTTGATGCAAGGGTGAGGATTTTCAGGGCTTAACGGCTTAACACCAATGGACAAGGAGGCAAACTTGTTAGTAAGAACATCCGAGATATCTCCTTGTAGCGGTATCGGTTTTAGTTTCCTAACAGTTTGATGATATTTTGAACATTCTTCGGATGCCATATTCGCCACCTTTAGAACATCATAACACAATCTAAATCTGATTAATGAGATTGATGTGAAATACTTTCACTGAACTTACAATATGAACAAACATTACACGCATTCTATTTACAGTATACTTGAAAGATCAATGAATTAACTGAAGTGATTTCAACTGCAATGTGACATGGAATAACATACAGACAGACATCCGGGTAGCTCATTTCGAAAAGCAACTCAACAATATATAGTAAAGAGGATAGAAGTGGATCAAGGTCTAGGTCCGGATGAAATTGCGACAAGAGCTGAAACACTGGAAGGAGAGAAGTATTATTGATCGATTTACGTCGAGCACATCTGCACGCTAACTAGCATCAATACTGGGAACAATTTACAATAAACACATTTTAAAAACATATACGAAATGAGGTAAAGAAAGTACGCCAGGTGAGCTGCTCGGCAATTCTCCCACTGTATGTGCGTGCGTGTGTGTGGATAGAGTCCTCCTTGGAAATGCATGAGCGTGCATGCATGCTCATGCAATGATGAAATTTGCAGTGTACATGGGGAAATATATATATATATATATATATATATATAATGTGTATGTGTATTTGTATGTGTGTATGTGTATATGGGTATATGTATGTGTGCATGCCACAGTTGCACTTTGTTACTTCAAAAGCAGCATGAAAAATCAATGTAAAACGGAGTTATTTTAGTTCGGGATGGGTGTGTTATGGAATGCTGCGTTGTTCTCCAAAACATTCCCTAAGATAAAGGGAGAATCAAGAGAGTTACCGAATTGCGTTTTCACAAGTCATGAAGAAATGCATAGAAAGGAAGAAAGAATTAAAATGAAATAACACATCGACCTTCAAATAATGATTGGCTATTTCGGCTATCGATATTCTGGTTCGAACAGTGTGCTTATTATAATTGCCAACATAGGTGTAAGGCTAGGTCTCACTAATCTAATAATAAGCTTCAAGATGAGAAAGATGAGAACGAGAAAAAAAGGACAAGCAAAGATGTATGTTTTAATTCATTGGTGAAAGACCATGTCATCCTTGTTTTCTTTATACTACCTAAATTTATTTAACTGCTTTATTTGGTTTTTCATTTTTCTAACCCTAGTTCTTTTAAGGATTGTCGCACTGATAACATACTGAAATACTAATTGGAACTTGATACACTTCACTCTTTCACAGTATGTCATTTCTTCAGTTCATATATAATCAATCTCTCAACACCGGTAACTTAGTTCAGAATTGCAGAAACTGTTCAAGAAGTAAGCGTCATACTCGTTGATCGTTAGCTCCTGTGTCCAGTTCGGAAACTTTTGATATTTCTTTTTACTTTTGGCAACGGACTATTTTAAATAAAAATTTTGAAATCAACCAAATCATTAACATAGAGATGTTGCTCTTGAGGTAAACCCGCTTTTACTGTGCAATGCTGTCATTTTTAAAGATATCACCGAACACTGAGCACATGCTCGACCAATGCGAAGATTGTGTGTAATGTATTTACAACAATTGATATCGGTTCGAAGGTAGTAACCTAATCTCTCTACTTTTTCTCCAGGACAGGTTTTATGAGATCTACAAAAAGAATTAGAAAAATAATGGATAGAGAAATCTTAAATCTGCGCTCATAGATGTTTGTTATATGGGGAATCCGAAAGCAAATTCATAACAGTCTCGAAACTCTCTCAAGGATTGAGAAAGCATAATGTAAAATCAATCACGAGACCAAATTTATTATTTGTAACACGGAGATCAAATTTATTTGCTGTGTACAGTAGAAAATAAACATTCACGGCTAATTAGTTTCCAGAGACTTGATTTAGAACAAAGAGAACCATCTTACATTGTATAGTTTTCTCAATGTGACTTTTGGAACAACGATCAAATCCAGCCGATTGCATAAAGTAATTTTACATTTTGTAGAGCAGGAATAAATATTGGTACGTAATTTAATTGAAATGTTAGTGGTAGCTTAAACGGTTTACACCGTTTCAAATAGACCACCTTAATCTGGCATGTTCTAATTCACAATTCATTTTTTTTAGTCTGATAGTTAACAGCGATTAGATAGCAATATTCTGTTCCTTTCACACTTTATTGAAATAGTTCAAACATTTCATGAATGTAAGGTTGCGAAAAAAACTATATGTCGAAATTATAATATCTGACCTAGCTTTCAGTTCAGTTTCAGTCTTTGAACTGATAAAAAAAAAAAAAATTGCGAAGGAGAATAACTTCGGTTGAGGAGAATAACTAACTTCATTCGCCGATGGTATTGTGCTTATTAATAGATCTCAGTGTTATGTAACATCTATTGAATGAAATGATTGTTGAGTAAGAAGGACAAGTTTAAATTTATTGTTAACTATACGGAAAATAAATGACCCAAGCAGATACATATTTGGACTACAGGAAATGGAGTGGGGATGAGAAAGTTTCTCAGCACAGTATTGCAGCAGCAATTTGCACCACTCTTTCTAAAAAACCTATTCAGGAAGAATGGTTTACTTGACTATAAAGTTAACGACAAAGTGCTCACTACAACAGCTGCAGGTATGTCCAGCCTACCATATCTTCCCGATCACAGTTTGTCCGCAAAACATCGCAACGAACTTCATTTTCATGTTGAAGTTGGAAAATAACTAATGAAATATGAAGCAGTCAACACGGCGGAGCGGTCACAAATTGATCCTATGCCCAGTTAGGTCAAGGGAAAAAAGAACGAGAGACATGTCCTTC